GTGTGCGCCGGCAGCAGCGCGCGGGCCTGCGGCGCGCCCGGCGCCGGCGCGTGGCTCAGCCCCAGCGCCGCCGCCTGCGCCGCCGACAGGCCCACGCCCTCCTCCGCCGGCGTCAACGCGCCTGCCGCGTGCCCGTCTGCACACAACACGTGCGATCAACGAAAGCCCCCTCATGTCGAATGACAATTCAGCACAGAGAAAAAAAGGACCGAAATACCGAGCGCTCGCAAGTAAGTCGCGACACGCGATCTTATTTGATCGTTTTAAGAACAGCAAGGCTCACCTCTAGGCAGCATAACGGAGTGGGGGTAGTCGAGAAGCAGCTGCACGACGGCGGTGTGCCCGCCTTTAGCGGCCTCGATGAGCATTGTAGAGTTGTCCTTGAGCTTGCGGAACGGGTCCGCGTCACACGCGAGTAAGAACTTAACGACGTCCGCGTGTCCGCCCGCGCACGCCAGCGACAGCGGCGTGTGGTCACCGTTCGCCGTCATGCGGTTCACGTCCGCGCCCTAAAAGCGGTTAGGGTTTTTTTTCATTAAATTCTGCACACCATTAAGAGTTGTGGTACAGGTACATGTAAACAACAGATTCATGTTGTAACCTTGTTTAATAAGTACCTTAAGATGTGTTAAAGATTTTTTAGTAGCAGTAGAGCTCCTTGTGAAAGAGTTAGTCAACCAAGTACTGCCGTACTTCCCCAGACAAACTTTACCTATTTCTGTCACCAAGCAGTAATGTGAACATTACTGTGTTCCGGTTTAGAAAGGTAAGGGTGCTGATGAGATTACAGGTACATGGGACTTACCAACTTATGTCTCATGGTGTTGGACGCAGTGGCAGAGCCACTCAGATCTTTGCGATCAACAACTCTGAGTGGCACCGCAACGGTTAGGGACAGGCGTGTCGCTTACCGCCAGGCAAATGGCTTGTTCGCCCCGTAAATTATTTATTTATTTATTCGATTATAGACGAGCAGCTTTCGCTGGTACATCACTAATTCACTCTTTCGTAGCCAGTTGTTGAGTTTTTGAAGGCATTAACAGAGACAGCAGAAACAACATCTTCCAGTAGCATGTTCCAATAATGCACCACTCTGTCGCTGAAAAAAATGTGTGAAGCAGGTGTTTGGAAAGTGCACGAACTAGTATATTAGTGTTATTAAAAAAAAAGATGGATAGGTGTTACATTTAGTGTCAACGGTCAACGGTGAGAACAGGCCTGCTCATGGTCAGAAGTGTCAATACGGTTGCTATCGAGATACGTAGATGAGAGGATTAAACTAGAAGAGATGCCTGCGTTACCTTGCCAACCAGGAACTGCACGGTGCAGAGGTGGCCTGCGCGACAAGCCTTCATGAGCGGCGTGCGGCCTCCTTCGCTCTCGTGCTCGAGTTCGGCCCCGGCGCGCAGGAGCAGGTCGGCCACGTCGGTGTGCCCGTTCTCGCACGCGTACGTCAGCGCCGTGTCGCCCGTCTGCGTCTGCGCGTGCACGTCCGCGCCCGCGTTCAGCAGATACCTGCACGGGAAGCGTAGCGACGGCGGATTCATTTGCTATTCTTTCTCCATCGGTCAGATTTACTATTTTCTTACATATATATATTTATTTAGGAAAACATTACAGTCTTATACAAATCTTTAAAAAAAATACATTAAATTATTAACTGATCAGATTGTTCCATTAAATAATTACAGGTATTACAAAGTATGAATTTCTACAACAGACACATATACAAAAAGAAAAGAATTGGTGGCCCATCCGAAAACCCATCAGAAAATAATTAAACAATGATAATAAACACAGTTGTTACAGAGGTTTTAATTATTTTAACTCTGTCAAATGTAATATCCCCCACTTTTTGCTTGTGACTTACAAGTCATTCTTACAATCATTGGTAAAGAAAACATGTTGGTGTGTTACATTTTATTATACTAATATTTTATTCATATAACACAACAATGGCTCCATTACAAGTGTAAATGAATTTGGATTAGCACAAATAGTAACTTTGCATTTCCGATGCAAATGAAATTACAAGCGGAAGGTATTTATATCTAATAAAAAACAAAAATTTGTAATAATATTAATTTCAAAGAATAATCTTGAAGTAACACTAACCGCACAAGCTCAAGGTGTCCCTCCTGTGAAGCCTCCATAAGCGGCGTGGAAGCGCCGAGTTCAGCATCAGCGCCTGCTTTGATGAGGAAGTCTGCGACCTCTAGGAAGCCTCCGCAGCAGGCCAGCGTGAGCGCCGTCTCCTGCGTTTCTTCCGTTTGGGCGTTGATCTGCGCGCCTTGTCCCAATAGGAGCGCCACCATTTCCTCGTGACCTGAGAGCCAAGATACATATCCTATCAAAAAGAAACTTACACATGCAATCTGGATTAATGGTTAATTTCGTTTGAAGGGATATGAGAAACGGTGCGTTGGGTATTGATTGACACACTTGCATTTTTATGGTTCGATCATTGAGTGAAATTTCTTCGTATCTTTGTATTAACAATTACAAGAAACTAGTGAAGTTATTTCCCAAAAAGGTATATAATATCACGAAGGTTAACATCGAGAAATTAAAAAAAAAATTATAATAAATTTCATATAATAAACAAAACCTGCAACGTATTTTTCTTGACACATTTAGTTATTGCCTATTTGTGTAGACAACGCTAGCGCGAACCCACGATACTCTTGCCCAGTATATGTTGGTTGAGTTAATAGGGTAGTATTATCTCTTAAGTGTCATTCATATTTGTATTACATAGATTTTATGCATTTAGCGCTTGTGGTACGACTTACCACGAAAAAAAAAAGGAAGTGCCTAAGACTCGATTACTAGAGAACCGATGTCGCCTAATCCCACACATTCTTAATTTGAAACACTACGAAATCTTTGTAATGATTGGTCGTAGCTTCAAATTTACAAAGAAATAACACATTTTGGATTGCTAATATAATTTAAACTTTACCCTGTTGGCATATCGTTGAAAGTTCAATACCATCAATACCTATTATTGCAAGTTACGACGTTTTGATATTATATTGAAATTTCAATCAATGTGCTGCCACCTAGCGGTTAATTGCTGAACGACGACGAATTGGAGTTATTTATTTAGTTCTCCAAAAAGGAAGCGACCATATTGCAGGGGTATAAGCTTTACTTTCGCTTCTTGTAACAAAAAAAAATATTTCGATAACCAGAAAATTTAAAATTTATTAAAATAAGACTTGCCCATGATATGTAATACCACTACGGGTAATAGTTTGGTGCTGCTATCATTTTTGCACCTCAATACAGAAAAATAACGCATTTACGATACGATTTTAGAGAATTTACGCGAAAGAACTGACACAACCATACCATACAAAGCCAAAATGGCGGACTAAGCTCAAGTGGGTCTAACGAGGCCCACCGTTGGCACGTGAACTGTATTTATCATTCTGTGCGACGTATTATGTTCATAGCTTATGTAATGTTACTATATTTAAGTTTCTCATTTAAGTGAATGTATAATTCTTTTGAGAAAATAAATTCTTAAACCACATTGTACTTACCCTCCCTAGCAGCCTCCATGAGCGGCGTGTAGCCCTCATCGTTGACTTCTTCGATGTTGGCGCCTCTTTCCAGTAGTAGCATGGCCAGTTCCACGTGCCCGCCGCACGCCGCGAGTGTCAGAGGTGACTCGAAGCTGTCCGTCGGCATGTTTACCTAACAACAATAAAATATATTTACTATAGTCTATTGCCTGGCCTTATTCCTCGGTGTTGGCCCTTCTGGTCACTCTTCTCCAAGACGGTCTGCCTGAGTCGTCTGTGGTTTTAACTGTTGCTCTCCTAGATCTTTATTAATAAGGGATATCCATGTGAGGCGGGGTCTACCACGTCCTTTGGGCTGGTTATTCATGTCAATTCCTTGTCATATGATCAGGCGGTCGTCGCATAACATTTCCGTACCACCTAAGTCGGCTATCTGGCAACTTTTCCGGGATAGGTCTCACTACTTATTATTGACCATATTGTGGGTACTCGATAAAATGAAAAATGTTTCCATAAAAAAAACATTGATGAAGTATACTTGTTCTGACTAATAAAATTTATGTACAAACATGCAATTAGCGTACATAATAAACAACTTTGTTTATACAAAACATACACAAGTCTCAATATAGTCCCAATTCAACACAATTATATGTATATAAAGGGTATATGTTAAGATATAACATAATCATCTAATAACTATAAAATCGGTCCAAAATTCAGAGAGAAACTCATTAGTAACGATCGAGTCTACATGCAAAATTATTTTAATACACCAAAATAAACAAACATATACCAAACGTACACCAAAATAATAAACGTGTAAGAGCGTCATAAGCTCAGTGTTATTGTAACATATTGTACATAACAATAAAGCAGATTATCAACTTTCGTAATTCCATCAATTTCGTTGGCTGAAACACGTTGCATACATAATCTAAAAGATTAAAAATAAAGCCTATAATCCCTTGTGGTCCATAATTACTTTTGACATGGAATTGGGGTCACAAATGTATTCTACCTGAGCACCGGAATCCAGCAGCAACCGTGCGACTTCGACATGGCCGTCCATGCTGGCCTCCATGAGCGCGGTGTGCATTTCATCGGTTTTGTGTTCGCGGTCAGCGCCAGCTGCCAGCAGAAACCGCACCATGTCCAGGTGCCCTTTGTAGCAGGCGAGAGTTAACGCGGACTCCTTGAACTCGTTTGAATGCGTGTTGATGCCCGCACCGTGCTCTAGGAGGATTTTCGCTACGCCCACGTGTCCTGCTGACGCAGCCTGCAACAAAGTATTGGCTAGACGTGTTGCAAAATCTTCCGTCCATTAGGAGTTATTTACGGTTTTGTGCGGACGCATATTTTAGATCACGGACGGAAAAAAACAGTGGTAGGGCCTAAAAACCTTGATTACTATCATAATCGCTGCCGCCCAAACTCACTCCATCATAACTTCAAACACTATGAAATCTTGATAATGATTGGTCATAGTTTCTAATTTAAAAAGATTTAACATCTGGTCTGTCAAAATAATTTAAACTTTACCCAGTTGGCATATCGTTGAAAATTCAATATCTATTATTGCAAGTTACGACGCATTAATTTTATATTGAAATTTTATTCAGTGTGCTGCCACCTAGTGGTCAATAGCTGAAAAAGAACGATTAACGTCTACGACGAAAAAAAAAGTCGACCGCAATGCAGCAATATAAGAATTATTTTCGTTTCTCATAACAAAAAATCTGATAAAAGAAGAATTAATAAAACAAGTCTGAACGATGATATGAAACACCACCATGGATAACAATAGGTGCGACTAATTTCTGTGTTTTAGGTAGATAGTACGAACGTACCTCCATGAGCGGCGTGTGCCCGTTCTCGTTGTGGTCCTCGACGTTGGCGCCGTTGTCGAGCAGCGCGCGCACGCACTCCTCGTGGCCGCCCGCGCAGGCGTACATGAGCGGCGTGTTGCCCGAGCCCGACACGGCGTTCACGTCGGCGCCGTGCGCGATCAGCAGCCGCACGATGTCCACGTGGCCGGCGCTCGCCGCCTCCATCAGGGGTGTGCAGTCGCCCTGCCGTGAAACGTGCCCTTAACAATCGACGCCACTCCGGGGTTCGCGGGTCCTCTTTCAACTAAGGACGTTCCATCTTCACAGCCCATGGTGAGATGGTGACTTCATAAGCCAAATGAAATCATTTTAAGAATTTTAAATAAATTATTTAAACAATTGATTTCCACACACAACAAAAAAACAAGACTATTCAAAAATATTAAAAAAACAACTGTGTGTGAGGGACAGTCCCAGCATACACTGAGAGGCAGCAGTCGCTAAGCAATGACTTTCAACTCCTAAATAATATTATGATTTATTTATCTACTATCACAAAACAACTCTAGTTGTCTCTCTCTGCTTAGTCTATACTATCCTTTTTACTACGTTGTTTATCAGAGTATAATTATGATATTGTGGGCATTCCGGTCTCCTTGGGTAAGTGTTTCAATCACAAAGGATCTCACTATTCATCAATTAATAAAGACACGCGATTATACAAACCTTGATACCGCGGTCCTCGACACTGGCGTGCATGGCGAGCAACACCTGTGCCAGCTCGTAGTACCCAGCGGAGCAAGCGAGGGAAAGCAATGACTCGCCCTCTTCCGTGGTCTCGTGCACCGACCGACCCTCTGTGAGTAGCTTGCGCACAGTGCCGACGTCGCCGTCTGAGCATGCCTCGGCAAGAGATGGCGCGCCGTCGGCGCCGCTCCCGCTTCCGCCACCACTCGCACCACTCCCCGCTGCCGCGTTACTACCGCTCCCACTTCCGCTGCCGCTCGTGCCCGTCGCTGTCGACCCGCATTGTGTCCTGACACAAAACAACCGAATTTAGTTGGAATCGCAAAGAAAGTGTAGAGGTCTAAAGGTCAACGCCTCGTCAGATAAGATCAAAGCTTCACGAATCACAGTCGCGTCCCGCGCCTCGACCAAGCCGATCGGAGCATCGCTGGCGACTCGATCACGACCGACTCGGGAGGCGCCCGACACATATTTCGACTCAATCTCGGATTTTCATCATACGTGAGGCGGACGTGTGAATTAATTCAGGGTGACGCTGAATAATTCGGAGAGGAAGGAAGTGTTAGCGATTTCATTGACGATGTATGAATAAAACCGACTGTATATGGAGCAGATAGCACGGGGGCCGAGATTACATCTCACGCGGCGCGTTCGTGTTGTATTTAAATATCAATCGTATTCCAATTACCGGGACTTACTACTTATGACGCTTTAAAAAGTGTAATATAAATTCCATTAACTCACATGTTTTCTTATATAAACTTAAGGGTATGGCGTTTTCTAGGCATTAGGTCACAAGTTATTGAAACGAAGCGTAGCGTCGATTGAGATAAGAGTGTGACTAAGTGTGTAATAAGAAAATCATAAGCGAGGAAAAATAATTTAATAGACACAAAACATCATACTTAACAATATTGTTGGCGTGAATCACGATGGATAAAAAAGTTTATAACGTTAATTTCTGTAAACAATAATAACGTGTGATAAGGGAAAAATGTCAGTGATAGTGGAATATGAAAACAAACTTCACAAGGAAGCACGCGGTCTTGTGTTTAGTTAAACCGATGCAATGGGTAATTTGCCGCCATTGAGCGCTAATTCGTGTTACACGAAAGATAAGCTGTTACACGGATTAAATGTTTTATGACATTCAAATGAACTACGCTGATTTGTTGATAACTACGCGTACGTAAATGCAGTAGATAATTTAAGATTACCATAGCTCTTGTTTCGTAGTCATTTTACGATATGTTTAGTTATGTTCAACTGACGACGAGTGACGATGCTTTTTATATGCTGTTTCAGGGTTAATACCAAATCTGTTGAAGTGAATCGGCTTATTATATTTACCGGTAAGAAAAGCTTTTCGTTTATAATAAGGATGTAAAAGACGTCATTCGTATAACTTCGACTCGGGCTACACGTCTCGACGTAACGAGCTCTCACTGTTGGTTTAATGCGCGTAATTACGTGGCCGGCTTAAGCCGATTACGCGTCGAATAGTTTGGTATTTATTTTTAGGTGTTTTATTACGATTATTAAGGCCTATCTTTTGTAAATATTGTTTTTGACGAGTGTTATCCTTTGTCAATCACTCCCAATCTTTGTTACAATATGGCTAACAAGTTGGTGATCGTTCTAGTGATTTGTAGTCTACGCTGATTTTCATTTCACATTATTTATAATTTTTGAAGAGCTCCTTGTGAAAGAGTTCGTCCAGGAAGTACTGCTTGCCTTTCCTTACCTTTTTCTGCCGCCAAGCAGTAATGTGTGCATTACTGCGTTCCGGTTTTAAAGGGTAAGGGTGTTGGTGAAATTACTTCACAGTGCAGTTTTCATACTGCGGGTGGTTGACAATATTTTTAAATTTGAACGGTGTGTGAAAAGGGATGGACATAAAAAAAATGTAAGGTGTCTAAGTACTTACGGCTTGTCCTGATGATGGTGACGGTGGTGCTGTGGAGGCTGATCGCTACGCATGCGCGTCAGGGCAGCGGCTGCCTCGTCCAGCGCACACGACACTGATGACGTCAGCCGCCGCAGCACCTCGGGGTCCGCCAGGTGCTTGCCCTCGCCGGTTAGCTTGCCGATGCCTGCAAATAAAACAAACAAGAATTTTTTAATATATATTTTCTTTAATATTCTGTCTCAATCACTTGATTGTTAATGATGATGCGACTGACAGTAAAGCAAGGTTGGTTACAAGGGACCCTTTCATGTCGTCATCAACCCAGATGACGAATACAGATGTTCATGACCGTTTTATACAAATCTCTCATCAATATATATAATCTCTATATTGAGATTATAATAATCTCAATATAGACTACTAAAAAACCGACCTCAAAAATCATTCATCCCCTAGTTTGTCACCCTTAGAGGTGGAATACTTTCTTCAAATTTAGATGAGACCACATCTGAGTTGTCATCTCTTTCCAACAAAAAAAAAAGAATCATCATAATCGGTTCACAAATGCCGTTACGTACGGCAAAAAACGTACTGTACGAATTGAGAACCTCGAAGAAATTGCCTTACGTTTCTTATTATTGCGGTTCGTTATATCGCAAATCTCGAATAGGTAATCAATAGATTGAAAATCTAGTTACTAAAAATGTATCAGACTCGCCGTAAGGTCACACGACCGAGTGAAAGGGAGAGGAGTCTCCGTTGTCTGGTTGTGTAAGTTATCTTCGCAAATATTTCGTTAAATGATTCTTTAAAGTTCAACTAGTTCCATTTCATTGGTTCCTGGGAGAACATACAATGTAAACTTTATACCGTTGGTGTTTAGATAGGGGATAATGTAAGCGGAAATTACGCGACTAACAAGTGAGAATGCGGCGAGTTACACGTGGTATCGCTGGCTAACGCGAAACAATGCCTAAAAATAACTACAGGTTATAATGATATGTACCACCATATTTCAACTGGTGATCCGTAATTATGATAAAGTGATGACAGCTTTTAAATATCTTTCTTAGGCTCGTACGAATAAATCTATTTCAAGTGCAGGATCGATATTTTTTTTTTTGATAAAATGCCAAGTGACGGGACGAACAAGTCGCGCACCTGGTAAGCGACATGCCTATCCATAACAGTTGAAGTGCCACTCAGAGCTTTAAATCGCAAGATCTTAAGGGCACTGCCACTGCGCCCGTCACCCTGAGACATAAGTTGACAAGTTTAGCATCAGTAGAGATCCTTGTGAAATAGTGAAGAGGCATATTGTAGGCAGGCAGGGTGGAGGTGGCTAGTGCAGTGAGGATTCCATCGCTGCACTAGGTTCCTTCGCGTTTGGATACCACTTTCCACTTAACATCAGGTGGAGTGGAGTCATTTGCCTGTCATGTATAAAAAAAAAAAAAAAAATTCGTCCAAGGAAGTACCTTACCTATTTATGCCGCCAAGCAGTAATGTTAGCATTACTGTGTCCCGGTTTAGAAGGTGCTGGTGAAATTACAGGCACATGGGACTTGTCAACTTATGTGTCAGGATAACGGGCGCAGTGGCAGTGTTTCTCAGATCTTTGCGATCTAAAGCTCTGAGTGGCACTGCAATTGTTATAGACAGGCGTGTAGTTTACCATCAGGCGCACGACTCGTTCGCTCCGTCACTGGATATCCAAACCGGAACGCAATAATGCTCACATTACCGCTTGGTGGCAGAAACAGGTAAGGCGACAGTACTTCAGGACGAACTCTTTCATAAGGAGCACTGGTGCTACAAAGTCTATCTTTAATAACAAATATCAATCGACTGCAAATCAATATTGACGACATCCGTGGTCGAGTGGCTTGCTCACCGGTGCAGCCATCTCTGAGGTCTCGTGTTCGATCCCCGTCCGAGTCAATGTAGAAAAGCAAGTTTTCTATATTGTTTCGGGATCAGAGTGTTTGTGGTACTGGCGTTGTTTCCGATTTCCACATCACGAGCGATTTAGTTACTTACTTTGTGATCCGTGCAACGTATGTGATGTTGTCTATTTATAATTAATTATTACCCCTTAATTACGTATCATTTGGATACCTCCAATACTAAATATAATACGCCAACCTAATTTATTGGTCATGTCTGTTTTTATTTTGTCTCTTTTTTTTCACAAAACTAGTTTTTTTTTTCGAATTTAGTTTTTTTGTATTTCAGTATTTATTTTTATATTACATTACATGTGCCCCTGTAAGGGCGTAGTTAAGACTTAAAAATAGACTTAGACATGCAAATTATTAAACTTAAAAACGAATAATAAAATATCTTAATAAGATAATGTATCAATTAAATAATGAGTTTATATACTAATTATTATAATTGTGTAGTTTAATATAGGGAGATAAGAGTTATTTGTCTTTAACAAAATCTTGTTTCCTTATTTTTATTTCACAAAATCCGGGGAGCCTTATTTTATTTACTAATATTATTATTAGTAAATAAAATAAGGCTACATTTTTTACATTATGTTTACATTAAAAACAGAAAATGACCAAAAATTAAGTTGGCGTAGTGTTCATTGGCGGTAGCGATTTGAGAATTGTAGAAATGTATAAATATTAATAAATGTAACTCAACACTTAAACTACGGCTCAAAATCTTTATGAATTCCGAATCAATCAAAGCGTTTGGTCACTTGAGATGATGTCATCCCAGCAGCCGATGATGTAGGAGAGCTTACGTAGCATCTCGAAATTAGGGCGACATCACAGCCGATGCAGGCCTGGGATCTGTAGACGCTTGTCCTCTGTAAAACTTTTTCTTTGACCATATATCATGCCACGTGTCTTTTGATTTCGTCGAACTTATTCTCGAAAATATGGAAATCCTCCTAATATAAGTATACAATTCAAAGCACATTGGAAGAGCTTGGTTCCTATTGTAGAATTAAACTTTGAACATTACAACATTTGTCGACACGAAATCGCATTAAGCAGGCCAAATAAAGCTTTTGTAATACTAGCGAAAAAGATGGTATTTGATTTTTTTTATAATATCAAGTGAGGGGAAGAACAAGTCGTGAGGCTGGTGTTAAGCGACACGCCTGTCCATAGCAGCTGCAGTGCCACTTAAGAGCTTTAAATCACAAACATCTGAGCGACACTGCCACTGCCTGATACATAAGTTGACACCGTTACCCTTCAAAACCGAACCATAGTAATGCTCTCATTACCGCTTGGCGGCAGAAATAGGTACGGTGGGAGTACTTCCCTGGGCGCACTCTTTTATAACAACTACTATAATATCTATGGTGTTTGAAATAAATATGATAAATGTGTACACGTGTTTATTTACAAAGCGTACAGAATCAGTTTTGACCAATCGTTACGAATGAGCAGTACCTAGAGTTTAATCAATATGACAATTTCAAGTGTCTTTTGTTTGCCATGAAATAAAGATTTTGACTTTGACTTAAGCCCATACTGCCTTAGTTACTGTGGTGACTCTAACAGATTACTTGGAGTGCAACAACATTGGCCGACCATATACCTAATTAACTGTGTGGGGAGCTTCATAACGGCAACAGATAGGGCACATAGAGGTGGTTGCATACTGGGCCAAAGAAATTTAACACTGGTTTGTTATTTTATAACTTTTTGTTATTGACTCGACAAGAAAAAAAGAGGCAACTGATAATACACTTATGACCACTTCAGCGAAACAATTGGTTATTAGTATGGGGAAGACAACATTATATTTCTGACAGAAATACATACTGAGTTCTAAGATTTTTGCGTACCACTCCCTGTGCAAGTGTGGTGTGGCAGAAGGTAGGTACCCTCGAGCACCTGTTTTTTGACTGTAACCGTATCATCACCCGTCCCGTTAATATCAACTTTCTCCTAACGTTATTCCACTCTCGCTTTGTGTATATCCTGTGTAAATTTATTAAAAATAACAATTTTTTTCTGTAATAGTCTGTGTAAGTTCTCTGTTGTAGTAGATTCTCCTCTCAGCGATTTCTGTCGAAATTCGCCGGTCAAGAGTAAAAAACTCGACATTGGCGGAATAATCGAAGGTATCGATGGAGCTATAACATTATAAAGATGAAGAGTTTTGCGATGGTCACACATACGAAATGAAACTATATTTTCGGATCCAGATCGCGTATTTGTTATTCGAAAAAAAAAAACATTTCGTGCCCTTTATAGGAGATGGTACAGTCATCAACCAGTATTTTATTTTATTTTATTTATTTATTTTGGCACAGTTACAAGATACAAATTATACAATACACCTAAAACCATAACACTATAACAAAAACAAACAAATTTATATCTCAATAACAACCGCGCACAACATTGAAATAACATTTAAAATTTATATATGGCTATCTAAGTCTTATAAAGTGTGTATGTCAAATATTAAGAGACACATACTAATTAAGAGTGGTTACACACCTACCTTTTTAGCACTTGCGATTTATCCCAGTGCTGCATTGCAGTGTTGCAGTCACGCGCTTGTATCGCGTTTGTATCGCTGCTTAAAATCGCGCGCGCGTGTGTAAAGGTAGACGATTAGCGACTTCATCGCGTTTGCATCGCTGCTAAAGTCGCCGTGTGTAACCGCTCTTAAGTTTCCTAAGTAGACTATGTCAAGTCTTCCTCAGTGGCCTAGTGGTTAGCAGTATGAGAGGAGAGATCCTGGCCCTAATACTCTCATTCTCCGACCGACATCCGCCCGAAACAATTACTGTCAAATAAGTAACACTCGAGCAAATTAGTATTCGAAGCTTCATACTCGACATTGTCTTTTAATTTATGGAACGAATATTTTATAGCTCGATTAAGACTTAATTTCGTTTCTCTGGTACTCTAATACAGGAAATTGTGTGCCAAAATTCTGTGGTCACAGCAATGTTGGTTGCATTATAAGTCGAAGTATTAGTTACATTTCGTTAAAAAAACGTACGCAGCCTTGACTTTCAATAGCAATATTAATCATATTGCTACATTTTATTTTTTTACCCAATACGAGACCAGCCCCCGACTCAGAACACTTTGATATTTTAATCGAATCGTACGATTGAATATCGTTCTCGAATCGAAGGGCGCTTCCCGAGCTATTCAGAACATTCGAGTTAAACGCTCGATTCTTATTCGGGAT